AACAAAGACCCAACACAGCCAACAAAAAAATAAAAATAAACACTAATCATAAGAACGCCAGAATGGTTACAATAGTATCAAACAAAATAGATTTCAGAACAAAGAATATTATCAGGGATTACGCAAGGTGTTTTATTTTATTTATATTTACTTATTTATTTTTGGCCGCACTGTGCAGGGTGTGGGAATCTTAGTTCCCCAATCAGGGATCAAACCCATGTCTCCTGCACTGGAAGCGTGGAGTCTTAGCCACCAGACCGTCAAGGAAGTCCCAAGTAAGGTATTTTATAATGATAGAGGGGGTCAATTCATGAGAAGATATAACAATCCTAAATATGAATACACCTAAAAACAGAACCTCAAAATATATTAAGTAAAAACTGATAGAACTGAAAAGGAAAAATAGAAAATAGAAAAATCCACAATTATAATGTAAGATTTTGATTTTCTTCTCTGTCACTGCTATAACAAATAGACTGAAAGATCAATAAGGATACAGAAGACTTTACCATACTAATCAACCAATTTGACCTGATTATTTAGAGAATACTCCATCCAATAACACTAGAATATACATCCTCTACAAGTGCACACAGAACATCCATCAGATGGTACAAAAAAAGTCTCCATAAATTTAAGAAGAATGAAATCATATACAGCATGTTCCCTGATTGTAACAAAATTAAACTAGAAATCAATGACAGAAAGCTATCTGGAAAATCCCCAAATATTTGAAAATTAAACACACTTCCTCTAAACAATCAATGGGTCAAAAAGGAAATCGTGAAAGAAATTAGAAAATATTTTCAACTGAATGAAAATGAAAATACAACATGTCTAAATTTGTTAGAGGGAAATTTATAGCATTAAATGTTCTACTGGAAAAAATAAGTCTCATATCAATGATATAAGCTCCCATATACAAAATAAGAAGAGTTAATTAAACCCAAAGTAATGAAAAGGAAAGGAAATAAAAATATAAGAGCAGAAATGAAGAAACAGGAAACAGAAAAATAATGGAGGAAATCAATGAAACCAAAAGTTGGTACTTTGAAAAATCAGAGAAATTGATAAACCTCTAGCCAACTGACCAAGGAAAAAGGTGAGTCACAAATTACCAACAACAGGAATGAATCAATGGCATTGCTACAAACTTTACAAACATCAAGAGGATAAAAAGAGTAGATTTTTGAACAACTTTGTGACAATAAATTTTATAACTTGGATGAAATGGACAATTCCTTGAAAGACACAAATTATAAAAGCTCACTGAAGAGAAAAAAAATTGATAACATGAATAGCCATAATTGTATTAAGGAAATTGAACTGCTAGTTAAACACCTTCCCACAAAGAAATCTCCAGGCTCAGATGGCTTCACTGGTGAATTCTAACAAACACTGAGGGAAGAAATAATAGCAGCTCTACACAAATTCTTTCTGAAAATAAGAGAATACTTCCCAACTCATTCTGTAAGACGGCATTACCTTGATACCGAAACTAGACAAAGATATTGCAAGAAAAACCTGTAAATTCATCAAGCAATATATGAAAAAAGAATCTATCATGACCAAGTGGGGTTTATCCTAGGGATAAGCTGGTTTAGCGCTTCAAAATAAATCAATATAACTCACCATGTTAATTTAAAAAGGGTAAAAACCATATAATGCAGAAAAACCAACAGACACAAAAAATCTTTTGACAAAATTCAACAGCCATTTGTGATAAGAATGATCCGCAAACTAGAACTTCTTCAACCTGATAAATCTGATAAAGAGCATCTAAGTAAAAATTGTCACTAATGTTACACTTTGTCAAAGACTAAATGCTTTTCCCCTCAGTCAGGAATAAAGCATAAATGTTTGTTCTCACTGCTTATATTCAACATGCACTGAAGGTTCTAGACAATGTAGTAAATAAAGCAAGACAGAAATATAAGGAATACATATTGGAAAGCAAGAAGGAAAACAGTAACTATTCACATATGACATGATTATCTATGTAGAAAATCCTAAAGAATCTACCAAAAAATTACTAGAATAAGTTGAGAATGCAGGTTAATATAAAAAAATCAATTGCATTTTCATATACTAGCAATAAACAATGGGAATTTGAAATAAAAATGAATAGTATTTACAATAGCATAAAACCTAGGTATTAATATAACAAACATTTGCAAGATTGGTACACTGATAACAAAAAAACATTACTCAGAGAATTTAAAGATCTAAATAAAAGGAGATGTGCCTCATATTCATGAATTAGAAAACTATATTATCATTATTGATTACTATTCTTGAATTAAACTATTAATGCATATTTTAATATTTTCCTCTCCCCTAATAGATTGTCTTAAACATTCTTCAAATGTGCTTCGGGTCTAATTCTATGAAAACTGTAAGATAAGAGTTAATTGTTTAATGTCATTGGTACAGAGTTTCTGTTTGGGATGTGAAAAAGTTCTGGAAATAGATACTGGTGATGGCTATACAACATTGGGAATGTACTTAATGGAACTGCATTATATACTTAATGATGGTTAAAATGATAAAATTTTATGTCATGTATATTTTAGCTCTCACAATTTTTTTTTTTTTTCAGTATGCGGGCCTCTCACTGCTGTGGCCTCTCCTGTTGCGGAGCACAGGCTCCGGACGTGCAGACTCAGTGGCCATGGCTCACGGGCCCAGCTGCTCTGTGGCATGTGGGATCTTCCCGGACTGGGGCACGAACCCGTGTCCCCTGCATTGGCAGGCGGACTCTCAACCACTGCGCCACCAGGGAAGCCCTATTTAATGTATATTTTAAAACACACACACATACACACACACACACAGTTAAACAGAAAAGTGTAAGCAACACAAACATCCATAAGGGAGCACTGGGGTGAGCACTTGGAGGATGGGAAAAGGAGCAAAGGTGTTAAACGGGAAGATAAGTTACCAGTATGAGAGAGACACCCATGATGATATCAGTGGAGATAAAGGGAACTGAAATATAAGGAATAAGATTCACCACTAAATGGTCGTGCAGTGGAAAAGAGACCCTTAACTCAAGTTAGCTGTGTTAGCAGGTGGGTAGGGGCTGGGCCCATAAGCAGGTTGAGGGGAAAAAAAAGGGACTAAAATGGTAGGAGATAATGAGCATGTGCCTCACTATCTGTGGGCATGTGCCTGAAGTATCTGTGGAAGACACAGGAGGTGGTATCTAGTTGGAGGTTGGATACAGTTTTGACACCCACAACAGAGATTTAGCATTAAAATTATTTGAGCATCATTAGAATAACAGTGGTAGATTGTGAATAAGAACAGGAGGCTATACGGTGAAGAGAACCAATACAGAATCTGGAGAACACCAGTATTTAAGAGGTCCAATATATACAATGGAATATTACTCAGCCATAAAAAAGAACAAAATAATGCCATTTGCAGCAACATGGATGAACCTAAAGATTGTCATACTGAGAGAAGTCAGACACAGAAAGACAAGTATCATATGATATCGCTTATATGTGGAACCTAAAAAAAGGGTACAAATGAACTTATTTATAAAACAGAAGTAGAGTCACAGATACAGAAAATAAACTTATGGTTACCAGGGGATAAAGCGGGGAGGGATAAATTGGGAGATTAGGACTGACATATACACACTACTATACATAAAATAACTAATAAGAACCTACTGGGGCTTCCCTGGTGACGCACTGGTTGAGAGTCCACCTGCTGATGCAGGGGACACGGGTTCGTGCCCCGGTCCAGGAGGATCCCACATGCCGCGGAGCGGCTGGGTCTGTGAGCCATGGTTGCTGAGCCTGCGCGTCCGGAGCCTGTGCTCCGCAACGGGAGAGGCCACAACAGTGAGAGGCCCGCGTACCGCAAAAAAAAAAAAAAAAAAAAAAAACCTACTGTATAGAACAGGGAACTCTACTCAGTACTCTGTAATGGCCTATATGGGAAAAGAATCTAAAAAAAGAGTGGACATATATATGTATATGTATAACTGATTCACTTTGCTGTACACCTGAAGCTAACACAACATTGTAAATCAACTATACTCCAATAAAAATTAAAAAAAAAAAAAAGAGATCCAGGAATAAAGATGAATTTTCTGAAAGAAAGAACCAGAATAATGTCTTTGAAATCAAGAGCAGACTATTTCATGAGTTACACTTCTAGTTCAGTATGGTGATCTAAGTATATTCATTTACTTATCTCGCATGTGAACATAAAATTAGAAGAAACTGAAAAATAGGAATAAATCTATAACACATACCACAGATTTTTAGGAATTATTAGCAGCTATGAGCAGAACTCAAGGATCCGAGAGGAGAAATACAGGATTCTTGGTTTTTGCACAATCTGCCAAAGCATAGCTCTAGTCTCAAAGCCTCAAGACAGGACTTCTTGCCACTTAACTAATAGCAATCTATCAATTCCATCTCCATCTTGACTGTTTTTATCTTTTTTTTTTTTTTTTTTGCAGTACGCGGGCCTCCCACCGCCACAGCCCCTCCCGTTGCAGAGCACAGGCTCCGGACGCGCAGGCCCAGCGGCCATGGCCCACGGGCCCAGCCACTCCGAGCCATGTGGGATCCTCCTGGACCAGGGCACTAACCCGCGTCCCCTGCATTGGCAGGTGGACCCCCAACCACTGCACCATCAGGGAAGCCCCTGTTTTTATCTTTGCAAGACAGGTTCATGAAGTAATATATTCTCATTTAATTTGAGGAAATGCATTTTTGTTCTAGCACTGCTTCTGGAAGAACACTGAGAAAAGATGTTGAATGATTATACCCACTTAATGTGTGAACACTGCTTAAAATTAGAAGGAGCACTCGTGGGAGGTAAAACTTATCTGACCAATATGGGAACAAGTGGGGACTGCTTTCATGAAGGGGAAGATAAACAGGAGGATTTTAGTACAAGAAAGGGAAATGCTCAAATATTCTTAAAAACAACAACAAAAAACTATTTCAGAAAGGAGAAAGGAACCATCATCTCACCTGAGCCATGGTTTTGAGATCTGCAAGAGATGACCAGTCTTCCTTTGGGCTCCTCTTTAGAAAAGGGGCGGTTCCTAAGAAGGCAAAATCAAGATGAAAAGAAGCCACATGCCACTACACATGCTTTTAAGCTCTCTTATGACTTACGACTCAAGATTGACTCCATTTCCCTTGCTTTGGTGCTTGTTCACTCTATATATTCCACACCAATATGGGGGGAGAATAAGCTAGACAAAAATTTTATCCCTAAAGCCAGAGATACAGGCTCCTGGGGTAATGGGTTAGATTTTGGGCAAGCCCCCACCTCTCTAGAACTATCTTTTCTCTCCTAACCTGCCTATTATTATTAACTACTTCCAAGCTGTTCTCCATTAAGGCTCTACCATTTACATCATGACCAGCAATACGTGAAAATTCTCGTCACCCCATACCCTCATGAGTACCATGGATACAAACTTCCTGATGCTTGCCAAGGTATACACTGTGATTCTAGTTCTTATTTTTCTTATTATGAGAGAAGATAAGCTTCTATTCACAATGTTTAAAAAGCACCTTAATTTTTGTTTGTTTTTTAAATAAAAGCCAGGCCAAGCCAGGCAGCAAACTCCCCACGGCAGCCACCACCGCCATCCATCTTTAGTTTCTTGTCTGTGAAAGGTCTCAATTTTTTCACTTTTCTATTAACTTATTTTTATTTTCTGGATTGATATTAGATCTTTTTGAAAGGAAGGAAATTAATTCTGTAATTACTTAAAATATTTTTTATAGTTTTTCTTTATCATACACTTTATTTCCTTTATATATTTGAGTGTATCTGGACTTTGTATTTAGTTCCACTGATCTGTTCATTTAATTGCCAGGATTACTCTGCAGTTATTACAGTTTTAAAACATATTTTAGGGGCTTCCCTGGTGGCGCAGTGGTTGAGAATCCGCCTGCCAATACAGGGGACACGGGTTTATGCCCTGGTCTGGGAAGATCCCACATGCCACGGAGCGGCTGGGCCCGTGAACCATGGCCGCTGAGCCTGCACGTCTGGAGCCTCTGCTCCGCAACAGGACAGGCCAAAACAGTGAGAGGTCCGCGTACCGCAAACAAACAAACATGTTTTAGTACCAGGTAGGCTTACTTCCCCCTTCATTATTTTTCTTTAACAATTTTTGTCTTGTTCATTTTCTCCTAAGAACTTCAGAAAGTTTAAAAATTTTACTGAAATTTTAATGAAACTCCATGAAATGTTAGGGAGTTTTGACAATTTATCATGTGTCCCTGGTCCTTTTATTTAAGTCTTTAATTTTTGAGTCCCATCAAAAATTTTTTTATACATCATGGTGTCTTTTGTATCTTATATTTTGATGGCCACTGGCAACTTTCCATAGTTTTTTGATGCATATATACACATACGCACAGACACATATATGAAACCTGTTGATTTATTAATGTCTTTTCTAGCAAACCTCTGAGTTTTCTAACTGTTGTCATTGTTTTGAACAGGATGGTAACTTAGAAATTTTTCTGCCTCAGACTCAGCAGATGTCCCAAAGATGATAGGCAAAACAATCTTTCAATTGTCCCTCATTCTAAGATAAAGTCTTGTAAAGTAGCTGACTGCAACGTTTTGCTACCATTAGTTTACCTCCTACTTCGAGAGGCTGAGAAAAGGGAATGTCTCTTTAAGAGAGCAAATTATTTTTAGAACATAGTTTTCTAGGGGGAAGAAAAGTAGGTGCTTCTCACTCCCTTATAATAAACAAGGGGCTCCTCAGACCCTGATGCCACTATAAATCAAAGTGGTGAGAGAATTTGGGGGGGAACGTACATGTTTCCAGGATTTGGGTGGTGGTGGGGGGGAGCAGGGTGGTGGTGACTAAAGTGGCTAATTATCACCTGAGCTCCAGATGGAACCCACGGATGGAGCATGCCTAGGTTGGTTTGGATCCTGTCCAAGAGGACTGATGGGAGAGAACAATACCTACCAGAGTAGGTGGGCCACTGCATGCCAAGAGGAGGCATCTAGAGAAGTGGCCATGCCCATGAAAAGGGAACTGTATTTGGAAGTTCCCAGTAGTGGGGTCTCTCAGAAGGTAAATATGACTTACACTAAATTATAACGGTACCAGTCATGTTAGCCTCTTCTTGTCCCTGACTTTTCTTTTCCAGCTCCCAATCCATTCCAGCTGGAGACTATCAACCTAGAGGGAGTAAAGAGGGGACAAAATAGAGGTTGAGGAATTAGAGAAGAAACTGATCATGTTTTCTTTAGCGCAGCAGGCTTCCAACAGGAGGGAGAGTTTTTGCTTTTAAAACAAGTTAGTGTGAGAGGGAGGGAGACGCAAGAAGGAAGAGATATGGGAACATATGTATATGTATAACTGATTCACTTTGTTATAAAGCAGAAACTAACACACCATTGTAAAGCAATTATACTTCAATAATGATGTAAAAAAAAACAAAAAACAAAACAAGTTAGTGAGACTTCCGCGGTGGCACAGTGGTTAAGAATCCACCTGCCAATGCAGGGGACACAGGTTTGAGCCCTGGTCCGGGAAGATCCCACATGCCGCAGAGCTACTAAGCTCTAGCGCCACCACTGAGCCGGCGTGCCACAGCTACTGATGCCCATGTGCCTAGAGCCCGTGCTCTGCAACAGAGAAGCCACCACAATGAGAAGCCCGCGTACCGCAACGAAGAGTAGCCCCCGCTCGCCGCAACTAGAGAAAGCCCACACACAGCGACGAAGACCCAATGCAGCCAAAAATAAATAAATAAATTTATTTTAAAAAATAAATAAAATAAAATTAAAAGAACAATTTAGAAGTATTGATTTCTACAGTGAATACTTTATTCAGCTAAATGAGACTGATCTTGTGTTTAAATGTTCAACAGATTTTTTATCTTCATAATGACTGAAGAAATTATTGAAACTTTACTGTCCAGGAATTCACCCAAATAGAAATTCTGAGAGTAGCAGTTATGGGAGAAAGTTTTTTGTGTTCTCCTAATGATGTTCTACTTATGTCAACATACTGGTCATTAGTCAATATGGGGTTTCACAATATACAATTGTTCCATCTGAAAATTATGTTAATTTTACCTCCTCCTCTCCGTTTTTAAAATCTCTATTTTTTTTTACTTGTCTAATTGCCAGAGTCAAATTCTACAGGCATATAAAATGGACAATATTCAGACAATATAAACAATACATACATAGACAATATAAATATATACATAGACAATAGACATAGACAATATAAATATATACATACATAGACAATATAAATATGTTTATATGTATAAACAATACATAATACATACTTAACTAGTCTTGCATCTACTTTCTCAAATGCTCCATCTCAGTCACACAACGAGCCTGACACATTCCTAGTCAACGTGAATTGTGCAATTACTTGTGTGCACAAATACTTCAAAATTTGACATATTCACAGTTATATCATCCACTACACAATCCTAATCCCATAGACACAATTCATGCATCATCTCTCAGAGCCCATTACATAATTCTACACAAAGCTGCAAAATTTTACTCACAAACCCCTTACTGTTGCCTCTCCAAAGTCGCATACAGTCTCAAACACAAATCTACTCGCACCTAATTTAAAAATTAGACACACGCAGAGACCCTCTCACTTTCATAAACAATAGGTTCCATAACGTTACACAGAGTAACACACGTTCCACACACACACACACACACACACACACACACACGACTAGGCACAAAAAGCTACACAAACAGAACGCCTGTGTGTGCCAGGCCGAGCTCACACCCGCCTCGGCGTTCCCAGCCCTGGCTCCCAGTTCCTTCCCCTGCCTAGGTTCTTGTTTCCCCCCTCGCTTTCCTCCCCGGCCTTCTCTCAGCCCAGGTTCTGTCTTCTTTCCTCGCTTTTCCCAGTCCTGGTTCCCACCTCCCTGCTCGGCAATCCCCACCGGGTACCACAATCACCAGCCTGCCCAGCGCCAGCAGGACCCACCAGGCTCACCTTCGCCTACTGGCCAGCCATCTGCGCTTGCGCACTCCAGCGCGGGCTCTACCTCCCAAGAGTCTCCGCGGCTCCTTCTTCGCCGCTGCGTCTCAGGCGCGCCGTCTCGACATCCGGGTGTTTGCGGCCTTGAACTACATTTCCCACAGCCCCTGGGCTGCTTTTGAAAAGAACTTTGATATTTGGTTCATCTCTGATTCCCTTCTGAGGTCCTCTCAGTCGTCGCGCTCCGAGTGGTAACCTGAGTCTGGGCACGGCGGGCACTCACGGTGAGGAAGCCCCCACCCTCTGGCGCACACAGGACGTGTGGAGCCTGGAGCTCAGGCCTGTGTAGGCGTGTATAAGAGTGTGTGAGCGTTTGTGGCAGTAACGAGGCGGGGTGTGTGTGCGGTGATGAGGCCGTGTCTGGTGCAAGATGCGGGACCCTTTGGGTGACCGTGATCGGCTGTGATGTTGAGGTAGGTGACACTGTGGGGCTTGAGACCGCCCTTCAGAAGACGATGCTGTTGTTACGTAGTATGGTGGAAGAGGCTTTTAATTTTGTGACCGGGTCGGAGTTTGGTTGTGTCACGGGGTAGAGCTTCATTTCTGCAGTTCTGGTTTAACGTCGGGACTGAGGCGATCTGTTGAAGATCTCCCTGAGAGTGTATCTGTGCCTGTCAAGACAACGATGCCTGTATTAACCAGAGTTGCACTGAAGCACGGCCTGAGCTGCTTTTGTCAGCACCTCCACCTCCAGTGCCCAGACTCCAGTGCTTAACGCAAAAGTGGGTATCAGTGAAGTGTTGCCTGCCTAGGGGCCAATTTTAGGTTCTATTGTTTCTTAGTATCTGTATCCTTTTATCACTGCTTTCTCTTTTCTCCCACTTTATAGCCAGGACAACAGCTGCAGAGAAGTGGTCACAAAAAGGGGAGTCAGATATTTGAGTGGTGGGATAAAGGTTATATACAAGCAAGAAAGCACAAACCTGTTTTTGGAATGAGTTTTGGGGCTGGGAGTGTCCCTTAGGCAGAGTCCTAGGAAGACCTGTAGAAAGCCTAGGAGTAGGATTCCTTCCTCAGAGGATCTCTTTTGGGAGCTGAGGTCAAGTTCCATGTTTCAGAACCACATCATTTCCAAAGCTGTCTCCCCAGGAAACTTGCTGTGAACTTACAGAAAGTTTCAGCTCTGGTTATCAGTGACCCTGGCCGTTCCCTTTGATACTAAGAAAGGTTAGTGGTACTCCCATCTCCCCTTTACTTCCATCTGAGTATGTGTGTGGTAGATGACTGAGCTTGGGTGGTGTTGAAGAATTTCTTCCAGTTTAGCCAGTTCATGCTCTAAGAAAGGTCTGGTGTCTCATGAGTCCTTACTCCCCTTCTCTTCACCCTTCCCCTGCAGTGCAGCTCTCTGAAAGAAAAGCCCTGGGGAAAGGAAAACGTTACAGAGCATACCTGAAAACCAAGCTCAAGGTCAGGGATTTTGTTGTTGTTATTCTCTTTGTTTTAGTTTTTCAGAAAAGGGAGGTATTTGCTCTCCTCCTGAAATGGTTAGGTTACAATTAGGCAGGGCCTTGTGATGTACTTTGACTAATAAAATGTGGTGGAAGTGAGACTTTCAAGATAAAGCCTTAGGAGGTCTTGCAGCTTTTGCTCTTTCCCTCTTCCTGCCTTGAGACCACCAGGTACTAAAGGCTAAGACTAGCTTGCTTGAAGACAAAAGATCACTTGGAGACAGAGGCCAAGCTAACAACAACAACTGCCAGATGTTTCATTGAGACCATTTGGTCCCTCCAGCCCCCACCAAGCCACCAGCTGGCTGCTGTCACCTGAGTGAGATCAGCAGAAGCACCGCTCAGCCAAGCCAAGCCCGAATTGCCAACCCCCGGAATGATGAGCTAATTAATGGTTTTGTTTTAAGCCACAAACTTTTGGGGGTGGTTACATAGCAATAGATATCTGAAACTGCTGTTTAAACTTCTAGACATTTTCTATCACCCTATACTGATATAATTGTATTGGTCAACCTGCTTTGTTAAGTGATTTCTCTACTGATGTTATACCTTGAAAATATTCCATATCCTAAATTTTCTACAACTTTGCATTTTTGTATCTAAGTGTTCTATTACATGGTTATTTTATAATTTATTTAACCAATAACTTTCCCGAGCAACTCCTTCTTCTTCCTGTCCAACTCCCACGTCTTCACCAACTTTACATTCCCTTCCAGGACCTTAAGGGGAACATGGGTTCCTGTCATTTCAGGGGTATGTAGACTCAAGAATGTGGCATTGACTTCTGCTGAGTGTGTATAGGTGACTCACCCCACTCACAAGAATTTGTTCAATATAGGTGTGATATAGGACCAATGTACATTTATTTAACTAATAAACTGGGTCTCCCTGATTACAATATCTCTTTTCCATTTTCCAATTCAGAATCTGCATTCTGGAGTCATCTTAACTTTCATCACTATGACTCATTGGGGAATGTGACTCTTTAGGGTGCTTAGCTATTTGAAGGATTGGTATGATTCCTGGAGATGGAAATGGGCATCTCTGCTGTGTTGTTTCAAAAGTGTCATCCTCCTAATACTTCAGGTTACTTTTTCAACTTCCTTTTCTGTCTGATGACAAAGGGAATGGTCTGAATTAACCACATCAGGCCTAAATCCCATTTCTTCTCCTATGTGCAGGTTTTATTATTTAATTAATTAATTGATTTCCAAGGCAAATGTGGTTTCCTTGTTAGTTTCTAAGGCTAGTGGAGAGGTCGGCCAGCAAATCTGAGCCTAGTTGAGGGGCAACCAGTAAGAGGAATTCATTGTGTATAAAATCTTGGGAGTCAAGATTTAGGACCTTTAAGGTAGTATTTGAGTCACTCATTTGAAAGGCTTCATGTCTATGAAGAAAGTTCAGGCCTCTTAAGACAGAATTCAAACAACTACAACAATACACTCCATGTATTATATTCATATCTCCTATCATTTCTTTTGTTCTCAAAGAGGGAGGGATTAGCTCTATTATTTTTTTCTGATTATAAAATTAGATTCTTAATTCAGAAATTTGAAGAATACAGAAAAGCTTAAAGTAAAGCTCATCTAGAAAGAGCTTATTTGTTCCAAATCATCTCACCTATTTCTCTGTGAATTAACACATGGATATAGCCATATAGGATTTTGAAATTCAAAACAGAATTATACTGTAATACTGTTTTGTCATCTATCTTCTTCATCTAACCTAATATAGTGAACAGCTTTTCATGTCATCAGATGACAAACTGTGCCATAATTTTTTGAGTACGCTGTTTGGATATACTATAACTTTTTAAACTGTTTCCC